AGCCTTTGAACGTTTGACTGTGTCTCAGGGCTCTTCCTGAGGCATCCTTCCTCCTTCATCCCCCTTTCTTCCCTATCCTAATTTCAGCTCTCCAAGAGGACTGGTCCAGGTCATCTTTTTGCACCATCCTTCCCAGCCCTCAGTCAGAGTTCTAGGTCAAGCACTGGGTTGGGCTACTTTTGGGTCAGGTGGTTCTCCTCCCCAACCCTGTGGCTGGGTGATGAGAATGTGGTTGCCTCCTTGCTCAGCTGGGCTGAAGGTGGGGCCTGAGTGGGGCCTGATGGCAGCAGCTTATGGAGAATGCTCCCTTCCTGAGAATAACAGCCAAATAAAGCGTGTCCTTTGAAAGGTGCAGAACTTTGGCAGAAGTTTCCTGGGTAGGCAATCTCCCAAAGCTGCTGTTTGCATATGGTTTAGTGGCACAGAACTTTGGGTCATTAAAGCTTTTTTTCCCCTGTACTAATGATAGACTCCGTTGGAAATTCACTGCCTCCGCCAATCCCATGTGATCAGAGCCACGTATTTGTGAGTAGGTTGATTAGAAGGACAGTGTTCTGAGTGAGAATAGTTTCATTCGTTGTTTGGTGCAATCGAAAGCTTTGTTGAGACAAAAGTTTTTATGCTCTTAACACAGGCAGTTGTGGCAAAGAAAATCCTCTCGGGTTGCTGTGGAGTCCTGTGTCAGCCATAGGCACTGTGTGCATCAACGTTCACAGTGTCCAGCTGATAGCAGATGGGCCCTCTGCTCAGCTACTGGAGCTATTTAGACGGAAGAACAGTTGTAAACTCTCCAAGACTTCTTCATGGCTAGTCTAGGGCTCGACAGGCATGCAGGATAAGCACATGGCAAGTCATCCAAGGCTTGCTCCAGGTCAAACAGGGAACAAGGCAGTTTTGTTTGTTTGTTTTACCTTTGGCAGCTCATCTAGAGCAGAGATCTTCACGTTGAGGTACATACACCCTTGAGACACAAAAGGATTCTTAGTTGTGTAGGCAGCTGGGAAAATTAAGTCGATGAATTAACTTCTAGATTCTCAACTGCTATAGATATTACTTTTTAGAATTGTCCTATTGGAAGATGGGCCTTCGGCTGAGGTTCTCACCAGCCCCTTCACAATTTTCCTTCTGCTACTTTTCACCAGAGAGGCATAACCCCACCTCCAGCCATCCAAGCTCTTACCACCCTGCTTTGCCCCGGAGGGCAAGAACTGTTTATGGGCCAGATGCTGGGCAATGTAAACGCAGGTGTAGAGAGCAGTCTACCTGTCAGACTCCACATCTCTGGGCCAGGTAGACTGGCCAACTTTTTGTTTTCATCACCATTGAGGGAAAACCTATCAGATGGTAGGTCACTCCAAATGATTCTTGCTGATGATGAATTCTATATTGCTTTTGGTAAACAACTCAGGAGAAATTCAAAGCATTGGGTGACAAACATAGAACAAATTCCTTCTATTCACAAATTCTTTTTTCTGTGAATAGGTTTATTAGAATTTATAGATTTAAGAAACTAACATGGAAGCAGGAGTGTTGCTCGACCTGCCACATCTCTTGACCAGATGTCCTGATTGATCTGGGCTAAATGGACTATTTGAGAAACCAAAAGCCCAATTCATTCATTGCCAACTACATTTCTTTTTTTTTAATTTATTTATTTTTATGATAGTCACAGAGAGAGAGAGAGAGGCAGAGACACAGGCAGAGGGAGAAGCAGGCTCCATGCACCGGGAGCCCGATATGGGTTTTGATCCCGGGTCTCCAGGATCGCACCCTGGGCCAAAGGCAGGCGCCAAACCGCTGCGCCACTCAGGGATCCCGCCAACTACATTTCTGATAAAATTTCATTTGTAATATGTTTAATAATTATTCATCAAAATTTAAATTTATTTGGATTATATACTACTCATCATAATGGGAAGCAAATTCAGGTGAAAAAATGTAAGACTTAGATATTTGTGATCATAGGAAATAAAAAGTATGTAATATATATATATGTGTGTGTGTTTTGTTGTTGGAGAGAAGTATGGTAGGGTGATCAGGATAAGATTTTCAAGTATAAAAACATTGCACTAGGATATATGTGGGGGAATGGAATGGAAATACAAATTCAAGAAGAAAAATGATGTAAAATTTCTAGCAGTCAAAAAACTTGTGTGCTGATGGTGGTGAGAACCATCCTTGTGATGCTTATGATGATCCATTGACTGCATTTAAAATAGTGCCATGGGGCGCCTGCCGGGCTCAGTCAGTTGAACATCCAACTCTTGATTTCAGCTCAGGTCATGATCTCAGGGTCCTGTGATTGAATCCTGTGTCAGCTTCCATGCTCAGTGGGATTCAGCTTGAGATTTTCTTTCTTTCTCCCACTGACCCTTCCCCATTCATTCTCTCTCTCTCTCTCTCTGAAATAAATAAATAAATCTTTTTAAAAAATTTAAAAAATAGTGCTGCAACCATTCTTATTTTATAGGTCTCCAAGTACAATATTCCACTTATACTTTGCAACTACTTAAAGATAAAATGAAGGTTTTTTGATGTTACCATGTGAAAAAAGAAGGGATGTACATAATTTAAAAACCCCTCTTAGAGGAAGATGAGAGCAGACATCTGCAGGCTGCCATGCTTAGGTGTCAACTGGGAGAAGAGATATATATTGGAGTAAAAAAAAACCCAGCTCTACCATTTATTAGCTCTGTAACTTTGCACCAATTACTTAAAATGACTTAATTTGGCTTTCCTTTACAACAGAACTAATACTTTCCTTACTAAATTGTGGTGAAGTAAGTGACTTGATGTACTCAGTACTCTTAGCAGGGGGTCCCTGGCACAATCAATGTCACTGTCTCTCCACTTCCCCCAAGGCTGTATGATCCCTCTTTCTGTCTTCCCCTTTCTCCTTTCCTCTATCACCTCTTCTGTATTCAAAGTTGGCCTTATCTCACATCCTCTAGTAAATGTATTTGATTCACGTTCTGAAGGTCCCAAAATATCTTCTGTAAATTCATTCATCTAATGGATATATATATATTAAGCACTAACTATAGTCCAGGCACTATTATGGCACTGGGGATAACTGTGAATAAAAAAAGATAAAATCCCTGTTGTCACAGGACTTACTAAGTACATGGTGATGAGGATGCATTGGCTACTTCCAATCAGCAATGTACTTTCACTCATGACAGACCAGTTAGATTTCTGCGGATTGATCCATCTGTCCATCCACCCACCCATCCACCCATCCATCCATCCATCCATCCATCCATCCATCCATCCATTCAATTACAAAATGTTTTGAGAAACTCCTAAGTGTTAGGACTATCATCAGGCATTCTTGTTCTGATGGTGACCATGACAACACTCTATTTTAATAAAATTCCTTTTTGTACACCCTTTATCATAATATGTGTAGGGATTAAATGCATCATGTATCTCTTTGGGGGTTAAATGCAAATGTCCCTGGTTTTCTTTAATTTTTTTTTTTTTACTATTTCCCATTTGTTTAAAATATCTAGTAGCTTTTGAATGATTCAAGCCAATTTGTGTATTTCTTCCAAAGCAATAATTTGTTTTATTGACACTTGCTCCCAGAATGCAGCTTTAAGAAGTATTTAAAATGATGGATTTGGGGATGGGAAATGATCTGGGCACTCAGAGTGATTCTGCTTCTACTTGATTTTCACACTGTATCATGGAATGTCGTCCGGCCACCTACTTGGAGAACTAGTCTCCCATAAATATGGCATTGAGTTTATCTAGATTTTATCCAGAAATTTAAAAATAGCCCCAACAATACCAGTTTTCTTCTCTTTGCCCAATTCTCATTGATACAGGTCTTCAGAGAAGCCAGAATTTTAAAGATGAGACGTTTCAGTTTCGAGATACTTCCATTCAAGACATTCCTTTAAGCCAGAGATATTTTATCAAAGATAGAGTGCTTTGAGTGAAAATATTTTTTTCTTTTTTTTATTGAGATAAAATTCACAAAATAGAATTCACAATTTGAACTCTTTTAAAGTTTATAATTCAGTGTTTTTAGTATATTCATAATGTTGTACAACTGTCACCACTAATTCCAGAACATCCCATTACCTCAAGAAGAAACCCTGTACCTCCCAACTCTCCTCTTCCAACCCTTGACAATTGCTACTCTATTTTCTGTCTCCATGGATTTGCCTATTCTGGGTTTTTCATATACATGAGATCATGCAATCATATACATGATTTAATGCAAGTCATATAATATATGACTTCTTTGACTTAACATAATGTTTTCTTCAAGGTTCATCTATGCATCAGTACTTCATTCTTTTTATGGCCGAATTCATTGTGTGGATGTAGCACATTTTGCTTACCCATTCATCAGTTGATGGACATTTGAGTTGTTTGCACTTTTTGGCTACTATGAATATTTATGTACAAGTTTATGCATGAAAATAATGTCATTTATCATGGTATATACCTAGAAGTGGAACTGCTAGATTGTATGGTAATTCTGTGTTTAATTTTTTGAGGAACTGTCAAAGTGTTTTCCACAGCAGCTGTACCATTTTGCATAAAAATATTTTTTTTTACATATTGGCTGTATTTGTGCAAAGTATTTCTATACTAAAGGGTTCCTTTCCTAGTTTCAAAAAGTGAAAAAAAAACATGCACTTAAGCAAATTTTAACTTGGATTTTCAAGGGCAGATGTTACATAGAAGAATATGCCATTTAACACAATGAAGCAATATTTTATACTTGCATTATATACACCTATTTTTCATTTCTCAAAAATATAGTTGACATAAATAACTGGAAATTATTTTTTAATTTCTAAGTATAAAATTGATATTTATTCAGTTTAATCATCAGTAAGATCATTTCATCAAAAACAATTGAATTCCCCCTTTAAAAAATATTTCCATTACAATGAATAATGAAAGTAATTATTTTCAACATTGATGCATGTTGTGTTTTAAGAGATGTATTTATATTTAACATATACAAACTTTAAACCCAGGGCATAGAACCTCACTTATAAGTGAGAGTCTTCTGGAAGAGAAGAGAAACCTGACAATCTTTTTTAAGTCCCAAGACTTGACTGTGAGGTAATCCATGCACATGGCATCAGTAAGGTGTTCATTCAGGTGGATCAAGCCCTTGGCCAGAGATCCCTGGTGAGTGTCCTTAGTGCGATCACTTGCTTTTATTCAATAATTTCTTCTAAATGTTGGTTTTATAGTTATGAATTGTCTCAACATTTCATGTGTCAAAAAGCCACATTGTTCCAGAAACCTGTGCATTATGCTACTTTTTTGTGATTAATTTTTATTAAATACCAATTCGCTCTACTCTCCCTGAATTGCACCCATATCATCCCCAGTGGGAAAGACACTCATGTAAAGGCTGCAGATTCTTGCTTTCTTACTAGGTTTGAATAGCAAAAACCTTCCTAATATCCAGAAAACAGCAGAGGCCCTGCAACTACCTGAGTTAGGACAGGGCACTTCATGAGTATGATACTCAGAATAACAGCCCCTGAGAAGGTCCACATCCTAATCCCTGGATCCTGAGAATATGTCCTGTTATATGGCAATGGGGAATTATGCTTATGGATGACACTAAGGTGGCTAATCAGCTGACCTTGGGGAGAATTACTCTGGATTATCTGGGTGGACCCGGGGTCCCAGGCACAGTAAGAAACCCACTAAAGGACTGTGAGTACTTGACTGATTAGCAAGAAGGAAGATGACAGCCAGAGAGGATAACATTAATATTGTCACTGATGACAGCAGCCTATTATAAATAAAAAGAAGCTTTCTGGGATTTATTTCTTTGTTCTCTCTCTTTTTAGTTTGTTTTGCATGAAAACGAACAGTTTAAATTAATCTACATTTTTGCTGTTTCATAGGTCACTTATATTTATCCTCTTTTCTGTACAACATGCATATGGGGTAAGTACATTCATTAGCTCTACATGCATTACTCCCATTATAACTCTTTTTGCTTCAAACAAGCCACTCTGTAGGACTCAGTTTTCTCATCTGCAAAATGACGCATTGGACTAGGTGGACTCTGAGGTTTCTTTCCTATTTTACAGTAAATACTTCTTACCAAATTGCCCAGGTATTGGAGATTTTTTTTATTTTATAACATAAAATTAAAAAAAAAAAGAATTGGAGATGGGCAGGAAGCAGCTGAGGCACTTCAAGATTAAATCAAGAAATATAAGATTAAATGTGAATATTTTAATTCTGGAGACAGATATGCCTAGAATATTCTGTAATAAGATCTCTTTCTTCTGCTTCCTTACTGAGGAATCTGAGTTATTAAACTCAACCCTGCATGGTTCTGGGAAATCAGACTATGGAGTGCCTCTAACTCAGGTAGACCTTGAGACAACTGAACTGGTTAAGTCCTTTTATTCAGCACATCTCCATCTGTCTATCCTCTCTAGTTTGGACTTACTCAATACAATTTCTGTGATTTAAGTTAACATAGGTCTTTTCAAAGCAAATCAAAATAGAAAGGTGCCTTCTGTTCCCCTTTTCCTGCCAATCAGGAAGAGAAAGCACACATGTCAGGGAATGAGAAGCTCTCCCCAAGTAGGGATAATAAGACTTGCTTCATTTAGTTCACACACATTTGAGACCATCATCTGAAATAATGGATGGAACTACATTGAAATATATATGGATTTTTTTACCTGATTTCTTCAAGTTTTTTTTTTGTATTATGTAGTTTTTTCTCTAATTATGAGAGTCTACAGAGTTTTAAATTTCACTTCCTTTGTTCCTCATGTCCCATATGAGAGAATAAAATTCTTGAAACAGAGGTTTTAGAGATTTCACATAAAAAATAGCTCATACTATAGTTGGGTTTTAAAGATAGTGATATAAATCAATGCAGTATGTATGGAAGGCGACTTGGCATTCTCCACCCGAATTGCAAATGCATAATCCTGTTGACACAGGGGTTTCCCTTTTTGGAATTTATCATATGTATTTGTACTAACTTGGGTGTAAAGAAAATGCACAAGAATATTGATCGCAGGGGAGCATTCAGAAACAAAAGAAGGGAGATACCTAAGAAGGACTGATTAATCAAGCTATAGAGCCATTCTATTAACTTGGAATGATTTTGAAGATGTCTGATTAAGAGAAAACAGAAAGTTATGGAGATATATGCCATTTTGGTAAAAAGAAAGCAAGATCCAAATCATGAAACAGTGAGTTTGTGTGTGTGGACTTGTGCGCATGTGTGTGTGTGTGTACGTGTGTATGCATGTACCTGTGCATGCGCATATGTCTACATGTGCATATGCGCATGCACATGTGCATGCGTGTGTGTGCACACATCTGTGATCATGGTATGAGCATGATCAAAACTACCCAGACTCTGACTGAGGACAGTGAATGTGTCTCGGTGAGGGTATGGGGAGTCTGGGTTGGAAAAGAACATTTCTTCTCCTATTAGACTCTTTTGCTCTGTTTGAATTTTTAATCATATGTAAATGTTTTTCCAAAAAAATAGAGGTACAAATGTAGGACTGGTTATTAGTCTAGAAATTAATAACTTATTTCTCAAACATTTTATTCCACATACATTTGTTTAAAAAAATCTGAGATAAAACAGATAGGAACTTCTTTTTTCTTTGAGGAATAACATTAATTTTTGAGAATGCCGGTGTGTTCCTGGTGAATATGGCTTGCACTTCGAATGTTGCCTTGTCTGAGATATGTCTTTATCTTTTTCAAGTGGGTTTATTTGATCCGTTTTTGAGGTGCAGCTTTGCCCTCTACAAACACCTCCCACTTTTAAGGTGGCATTTATTGGGAAATGTCTAACATAGAAGAAATTCATAGAGACTAATGTTACCTCTTTTTTCTTTCATCAGTACCAAAGCTTTATAGGGAACTATTTCTGTTCCTTTATTAGACTCTGCTGATTTATTTTAAACTGATTCTTTCCTGAAATGTAATTTTGCTACAAACATCTCTGTGATGCTTGGCACAATTAAGTAAAAACAAACAAACAAACAATGAAAGAACAAACTTGCCTTTATTATCAAGCCAGCTAATCAACTGACCTTCTTTTCTGGTTGTTTTGATATCTCACTGAACACAAGTAATGAATCCCAACCTTAAATGAACCCAAGTGTTCAGACTAGTTATTTTAAGTGTTTTCATACTGTCCTGGACCTGGGCATTTCTTTTCTTTTTTTTTTTTTTCCACCTTATCAGAGTTTCGAACTTGATGTTTCTGTATTCACAGATAACAATGTGACTCAAAACTCAAGAGGCATATATTTCTGAAACTTCAAATACATTTTTTTAACTTAATTCTTGTCAAGGTTCACATTCCTGTATGCTTTCAATGACCCTAAAGAGTTTTGTTTATATTAATGTCTTTTTATTTTATTAATGCTTAATTTAAAGATTTTTGGTTTGGATCTGAGCATATTTTTCCAGAAAAAAAAGGTCTAAATTGCGTGATTGAAAAAAAAATACATTCTGGATAGACTCTTTTCCCTCCCATACACATATTCATATACATGTGTATATTTATATGTGTGTGTATTCATATTTACACATATTCAGATGTATTTACATATACGACTTATGCACATAGGTGTCTATGGATGGAGGTCTTCCATCAGAATATAAATACTGGTTCAAATGTTTTATGTTTCCCATCATACTTTGGCATAAAGGCCTAAATTTATAGCCTTGAGTGTGAAAGATCTATTAGTCATAGAGATGTGTGGTTAATACATAAGCGTTGCAGTGAGGGCTGGACCAGGCAAGATCATGAACTAGGCCAAGTTATCCCCAGTGCCTTTCCAATATTCCTATCTGCACTCTCAGCTCCCAGCACCTAGAGCTGCTTTTGCCACCACTCCCTCCCAACCCGCAGCCCCAGGCTCTGAAGGAATGCTCAGTGTTCATTGTCAGCGCAGGTGCATCATGGTGGCTGTTTTGTCGTTAAGGGATCTACTTATGGAAACAGTTACTCTGGGATTATGCGCTTGTATTGAAGTGACAGATGACTCTGGATACAGACAATGAGGATTTGTGAGAACAAGGGGCTGATTCTTCCCAAAGGGCGTGTCTGTGTGTGTGTGTGTGTGTGTGTGTGTGTGTGTCTGGAGGAAGTATGAACGTTAAGAAAATATGAGAGTGTGGAGTACCTCTTTAAAAAGAATGTTGGAGAGAAGTTAGGAAAGAGAAGTGGAGAAAGAGCCCAGATTGTTCAAGTTCAGGAGCTTTCTGGTTGGGAGACACATTAGAAGAACCATCTTGGAGTTAGAGCAATTTGCAGGAAACAGTTGTCACGTGAAGTCCAAGGCTGAGCTGTGAGCAGTGACTAGGAAGGACTCGATGGTCTTGGAGGGGAAGCCATAGGGTCCTGTAAAGCAGCCAAATTTACAATTTCAGTGAGGCACCATGGTGCACTTACAGTTTTCCTCACCATAGTTTTATACTTTAAGATCATCCACAACTTATTAAATGTCTTGCCAGGAGAGAGACCTTGCAGGATTCTGGCCAAAGAAAAGTGGCTATAGAAGTTTTTTTTTTTTTCTTTTCTTTTTAGTGCTAGCTCACAGGAACTTTTATTTTGCTGACATAATCATCAGCCCTCTCACCAAGCCACAGTCTAAGTTCTTTGCCTCTTGATACATCAACATTAGTCCTTTCTTCTCACAGATTCAGAGGTAAAAGTATACTGTGGAATTCTCGTGGGTTAGGTAAACCGAGGTGCTCGTTGTCATGTACACATCATGTACCCAGCTCAGTGTGCAATACCGGTTTACTAAACCAGATGCTTCACTTTCCAGAGTGGAAAGAAGTTTGTCGGCCCCTGTGGAGGAAGAGATTGCTCGGTGTGCCATTGCTTTCCTGAAAAAGGGTCTCGGGTAAGTGATGGAAAAATCAGCACAGACGGTGGGACAGAGAGACAGTGGGAGGGAGAGATGCAGAGCTACTAACCAAAGGGCGTAAAGTTTCTGGGGTGCAAGATGCACGAGCCCTGGAGATCTGCTGTACAACATCTAACAACAGTCAACAACAATGCAATGTTCACTTAAAAAATTTGTTGAGACGGCTGATGTCATATGAAGTGTCCTTACCACAATCAAATGTTTAAAAAAGATCCACATGGATGGCATACTGAAATTTGAGCCATTGTGAATGCTTGGCTTGAGGAGTCGCAGATTCTCAGAATGTTCTGGTAATGGTCACTGTTTCTATGTTTCACGATTAAAGTTCTGTATATTCTGATAAGAGATCCCAATGCTATTACACTATGTGTCACACTTCGAATTGCAAGCCATGATTCACTCAGTGTCTTATGCAACCCTGGTCTTGGGAACTGCCTTCTGCAAAAAGGGTCCTCGTGTCAAATGGCACATACTGTGTCACCACCATCTTAAAACTCAGGTTGCATATCAGCATTTTAAAGGCCCTGAGAAGTATGAGATGCAGTGAGGGAGGCGGGAAAGAAGGCTTGTTTAACCTTATATAAAGTAGTATATGTGGACATTGGACTGCAAGACTCTTTAGGATAATGCCTATTGAAATCACATAGAATCGTGTTCTAGAATTCAAATGATAGCTGCATTTATTGTGTGCTTCTTATGTGCCAGGCACTGCTCTGCATACTCAAAATGCTTTCGCTCTCCGACTCCTCACGACAGCTCTCTTGCCGTCTTATCGTGTTGACTTTGCAGGACAGAAGATCAAAGCTCAGAGAGGTGTAGTGTCTTGCTTAAGTCCACACAGGTCGGCGCTCCGGGTGACTACACTGGCTTCTCTGTCCTGCCGTGCACAAGAGCCCTCTAGGCCACTGTGTATCGGGTCACTTGAACATTTATGGGCCCTCCCTTGTATTCTGACAGCAGTAGTTGGCAGCCCACTAACTCATTAGTGCTGGAGCATTAGATCAAACATACTCCCAGAACCTTGCAAGAAAAGAGCATGCTTCAGAAACTTCGGAGAGTTTCTGAGTCTGCTCAGTGATTCTTTTGAAACATGTCCACATCAATCCTATAGGGCCCGATGCTCAAAAACCACAATTCGGTAAAGATCAGCCTACGGGGATGCAAAACATCTCCTGAGAGAAGGGACCATATATTTTTTCCCCATAGCTTGGCTTCATCTGCACATGAGACGTGTGCGACACGTAAGGGGCTCCTGTGTTCAGCTCTCCTCCTGAAAGCAGCTACCTTATTGAACTGATGCGATGGCAAGTCCCCTTCTGCTTAAACTGCTTTGTCTCTTTAGTACTTCAAAAACTTGGGTGCTCAGAATTTATCTTGAGCTCTTTCAAGCTCCCTCGGTGATAGAACTTAAAAACCAAAGGTACAAACTTCCAGTTACAAAATAAATAAGTCCTAGGAGTCTTTTGTACAACATAGTGACTTTAGTTCATATTGCTTTGTATATTTGAAAGTTGCTGAGAGTAGATCTTAAAAGTTATCCCAAGGAGGAAAAAAAAAAAAAAACAAACCCAGTAGCTGTGTGATGATAATAAAACTTACTCTGGTGATATTTCTGCAATATATACATGTATCGGATTAGTATGTGTATACCTGAAACTAACATAATGTTGTGTAGATTAATCATGTCTCAGAAATTCTCTTGAAACCTAAGGATGCTAAAAGCTAGCAATCTAAGAAGTGCTTTCGCCTTTTCCATATAAACGGACACATTATTTGGGAGTGGGGGTGGGAAGCCTGGCTTTTGTGTGAGATTTTTTAAAAAAATATAAACATACCAAGATCGTATAAATAAGAAGTAAAAGAGGGGCACCTGAGTGGCTCAGTGGTTGAGCATCGGCCTTTGCTAAGGTCGTGATCCCGGGGTCCTGAGATCGAGTCCGCATCGGGCTCCTTGCAGGGAGCCTGATTCTCCCTCTGCCTGTGTCTCTGCCTCTCCCTCTGTGTCTCTCATGAATAAATAAATAAAATTTTTTAAAAAAGAATAAGGAAAAGAAACCAGTGCATCTACATTTTAAGGCCCTTTGAACTTGAGACTCAAGAATAATGGATCATTAGAGGAAGGAGGTGAGGGCACCACAAAATAAAGAGGAACAGTTCTTGGGGGAATGCTCTAATTGATTGATTGATTGATTGATTATTTTTTAAAGATTTTATTTATTCATGAGAGACACACACAGAGAGAGAGGGAGAGGCAGAGACACAGGCAGAGAGAGAAGCAGGCTCCATGCAGGAAGCCTGACATGGGACTTGATCCTGGGTCTCCAGGATCAGGCCCTGGGCAGAAGGTGACACTAAACTGCTGGGCCACCCGGACTGCTGGAAAGCTCTGATTTAAATGAGGCTGAGAGCTGTTTATAGTGGGGACATGTGGCGATGTCTAGAGACATCTTGTGGTTGGCCCAACTGGATGGCGGGGACACCACTGGTGTCTAGTGGGTATAGGCCAGGGGTGGTGCTCGGCACCTGCAATGCCCAGGACAGCCCCCACACACACCAAAACCTGCCCTGTCTCCACGTGCCAACCGGGCTGAGGGCGAGCAACCTTGCTCTCATCCCACAGCAGCTCTGGGAGGCCGCTGTGACTAATATTTTCAGCTTTCTGTCCAAGAAACCTGAATTTCCAATTGCTGGTATGTGGAAGGGACAGGAGCCACCCTCTGGTATGTGACCTCAATTTCAGCATTTGCCCCACGATCACGAGAAGACGACTACACTCAGACTCAAACTCCAGACTTTTGTCATAACTTTGCCAACTGGGGTGGGCACTTGGAGCTGCCCAAGCCTTGGCTTCCTTGCATTTACACCATTAGCCCTTTCTCTTCTGTTGTGTTGGGTGTTTGGCCATCAGAGGCAATGTGCCTTGCGTCCCGTAACACAGCGTCCAGTGCCAGGGGTTACGGGGGCTCACGGGACGGGCTGCAGGCAGGGTCTCTGTCCCTGTTCCTGGGTGGTCAGGGAGAGCAGAATGCAGAGCAGCGGTCCACCTCTGCCCTTCCTGAGACAGACGGCTCCCACGTGGGGGCTGCAAGTTGCTGGCAGAGGTTTCCAGCTGGGAGTTTGGGAGCTTGGCTTGTGCGTAACTGGGAGGTGGTGTGGGAGGTGGGTGCTCCCCAGTGCCCAGCAGCCGGCCAACTCACATACTGTCTCTGGGGCTGCAGTGACAGCTCCAGGGGGACTGGAGAAATGGGAATAACCTGAATTCCGGAGGGTTGAGGATCCGCCCCAGGCGGCGCAGCCCATTAGTGGCACAGCCAGGCATTCCTAAGAAGGAAATTATTCCCCTTTTAGGGATGAATGCCTGAGTGAGTAGTTTAAGCCTCAAATCCAAACTGCTGTGTCTGGAGCAACTGCTGGGAAGCCAGGCTGGCCCCGCGCAGTGGACAGACTGGAGGTAGGGTTTGAACTGGGGACCCACGTTGCAGTTTGAGGTGGAGCTGGGGTGTAGCGAAGGCAGGGACCCAAGGATGGGTTCCTTCATTTCTGGCAGAGGGAAGCTCAGCTTCATCAGTGGACCCTGGAGACCCCCAGTCTAGCTTCAACATGTGTTTCCACCAGTGATCATGTGTGTTTCCCTGTGGCCTCCCTCCAGCTGCATCAGTTGGGCCACTCACTCTCCCATGAGCTTAATCTGAACCTTCTCACTTGCCTACCATTTTCTGGAATCTCTTCCCACTGGCACTCTGCCTCTGTCTTCCCTGCTCTCCCCAAGGGAGTTCAGTGGAGACCCCAGGCCTCCAAGGCATCCCCTCCAATACCTCCCGGCTATGCTGATGCCCCTGGCGGGGACCCAGTTCCCTTTTCTGGTATTGCTCCTACCCTGGCCTGTAGCTCTGTTTGGGTGTGAATGTGGATGCACCTGACCCTCTTGCTGAGATGACAAGCATGCACTCCTTCAAGGTGGTCATATGGACACAGGTAGAATGTTTATGCTGGGTCCTGGCCTTCAGTGGACACTCTAGAACGTAAGTTGCTGACTTCTGTTTCACCCCTTAAGAACTGGGGCATCAATTTCTTGTATTGCTTTGAGATGATCACAGTAGATAGCTCATAAAAGGCAGTTTGTACCCATAAATCAATACATTAAAACCCAGACTCCAGCCTGGCGAGGACTGGGAGCCTGGGTGGGTGGCCATGCTGGCTTGTAGCATGCCTGCAGGGATACCTGCCATATCCAAGAGAAGGGGGAACAGATTTAGCAGGGAGTCCCGTGGTCCTCCCCACCCCCCCACACACACATCATTCAAACCTGTTATGAAATGCATTATCTCATGCAAATTCAAATTCCTTTGTGATTTCAGGTAGTTGCCAGAAATAAGTAGTTTGAGCAGTGGCAGCAAACAGGACCTTTTAAGGGTTCAGGAAAGAGCTCCTGGTGGAGGGTGGGAGATTGGAATGCCTGTGGCTTCCTTTGGGTTCAGAGTCTTACCTGGGAAATAAGGGTTTGTGCTATGGAGCTGGTCCGGTCCCTGTGGGTCTTAACAGCCTTAGGTCCTACAATGTGGGCATGGCCTTTTGCATACAACAGCGATATAATTGGCTTCCAAAATATTTTGCAGTCACGCCCTGACATTTCCCCTAACCTCATGATAGTTTCTCTTTAAGGATATAAATGAGGTGGCATTGGGCAAGATTTGAAGGTTTTCTTTACTAATTTCAGTGGAGGAATCTTCATGTTTTTGGTGGTTACCTCCATGCAGGGAGAATTATGTGTCTTTATAGACTAGGATGGGACCTTTTACAAGTTCCACTTCAGTTAGCATGATGGTAAGGACGCTTTCTATAGCTTTTCCCAGAATAAAGTGTAAAATATATCCATGTTCTTTTTCATTCAAGGAAGTCTAGCAACTGTCAAACTGTAAACTGTTCCATTAAGAACTTTGTAATTTGGTGATTTTTATACAAGGGATCAAATGGCT